TCCTCCTCACGCTTTTCCCCTCCTCCTCACACTCTTCCCCTCCTCCAGCGTGGGTCCTCCATGGGCTGTCAGAAGAACAGCCTGTTCTTCCTGTCCTCCTGTCAGAAGAACCTGTTCCAGCATGGACTCCTCTTCACTGCAAACATGGCAGTTTCCATTTCCACCTGCTTTGGTGTGAGCTCCTCCACAAGCTGTAGTGTGGACGTTTGTTCCATGGTGGTCCTCTCCATGGGCTGCAGGGAAATACCTGCTCTGGCCCTTGGAGCACCTTCTCCCTCTCCTCCTTCTCTGACCTTGGTGTTTGCAGGGCTGTTTTCTCACCTTCAATTCTTCACTCTACACCAGCTGTGCAGCATTTTGTCCTTTCTTAAACACTACATGCTCCTGAACAAATGTTCTAAAATACGTCTTTTCCCAAAAGTAGCATACAGTGCAGGATATTGAGAAAGAACAAGCCATACAGTTTTCAAAGGAAATGTTATGAGATACCAAATGTGGGAAAATCAGGAGATATCCAAGGAAGCAGAACATGTTGGTCCATCCTTGTAGACTATTTATACTACACAGAAGCATGTCCCTATTTGTTTCCTTCCTACAGAAATCTCTTGCATGCTTCCCATGTTCTATACAATCACAATTTAAAAAAACAAATTTTAAATGACAAAGAGGCTGAACAAACTGAAAAACAACATGACTTCAGCTAACTTAATAAACCTATTTAAGCCATAAAATTATTTATGATCAATTTCACTAGCTATAGTTTATAGCTGTCACTGTTACCTGGTGCCTAAATTTAACAGCAAGTCATCATGAAAGAGGCAGTCCAGCACTATACAGTGTAATAAAAAGTCAAACATATAAACTTCAAAGGAACATTGTTGTCATTCTTCATAGAAAAAAGTACTACACACTTTAAAAATCAAGAATCTGAAAAAAAAAAAATCCTTTTCATTTATAAAATCATCATAATAACTGTTTATATTTTTCTCATTTTCCTTACAGGGAAAGATGGTCATTCTGATATATACCACAAAATATCTGATAAATATTCATTTTAACAAACCTACAAAGAATTTATCCTTCAAATATTTCATTTAATTAAGAATCCTTTCTTCAGTATTTAATAAGGTAAAACCTTCTACTCCCAACAGCTATTTTAACAAGTCTTTGGCAGATAACACACAAACCATTCAAACAAGCTTCCAGAATTATAAGCAGCATCAACAGATATTAAAATTATTATCTGGACCCTTGAGCAAAAATGTTTGGCTTTACCAGCCTGACTTAGAGAAAAATACACAAGGCAATAAAGTTATCCTACCTCATGCTTTCTTCCAATCCTTATATTGTTGCTTGCCAGAGTATCGGTAGCATATAAATTATGCTCTGGTAAGTTAAGACTTGCTTTTTTCAATTTTTCCTGCAAAAGGTCGATTTCAGATTTTTGCATTGTAATAAGACACTGTAGCTCACTTAAAGAAGGCTGTTGAAATACCTAGAAAATGATAGTACAGGTATATTACATTAGTAACAAAAAATCAGAAGCATAACAAACCATTTAGATAAAATTGCCTAGAGAAACACGTTACCAATATTGCAGTAACATGTGAGAGCTGTAAACAGTCCTGCTTCTGTAAATGACTCATGAATCCATAATCAAAACCAGACCCCAAACTGTCAACTAAACATTTTCACACCCCACGCCCACCACGTATTTTCCAAATCCAAATTTACAGTCTTAACAATGGTTGTTTTATACAGATGTTTCTTCTACAGCAACCTGTTCTACTATGGTATTTTGAATCTCACATGTTGTCAAAATTTCTTGATAAAATATTTTACTTCCTAGACTTGTTTCTGGTGAAATTTCAAGTTGGTAAGTATCACTGACCTATCAAACATTGGAAAAAAAAAAAAACTTAACTGCATATTCTGTCAATAAAGATACTCTTAGCTAAAAATTGCCTCAGAGAAGTACATCTGTAATGTAAATCTACAACATGTATCCACTATGTCCATAAACTCAGACAGCACAAATGTTGTGGTCAAACTGAAGACTTACAGAAAAAATAGACGGTAATTCTAGATCACAGTGTTACTCAAGGCAGATGTGTCATTTCACAAAGCCATGAATTCCAGGCCCCTTCCCAGCTATCAATCTATTCACAGCAATTCCTTGGCACAATACAACACTGCCACACACTGCTCACCTTGGGCCTGTTATAAAACCTGTTCAGACCAAACCACGTTTTCATTGGTACCAGCTACCTTTAAGTCATATCGCCAGTGTCCCAAGAGCAGACTCATGTGTGTGCACACGACCAAGAGTGTTCAAGTTACCATGGCTTGATAAATTACTCTTTGTCACCTCAGTTTTCATTAACTACCTGTGATCACACCCCACTGCCTTACAACCACAAGGCAAAACATTTTTGGTTTAGCACAAGCAAAAGCAATATGCCTGTTGTGGCAGTCTATGGCAATCACAAAGTGAAATGCTTTAGCTCAAACCTCCTCCACAGTGCTTTAAAGCTGGAGACAGAACGTTCACCTTGCAACAGCTGTGCCGGACAAAGACAATATTAATTCCCAGATGGTCAACATATCCAGGCAGCTGGAGGTTAGCACCCCAACACTATTACTGAAAGAAGGGATGACACAAACACCCTCCCTAATCAACTGCATAAATAAAAGGGCAGGTTAGTTTAAAAAGCCAATGCAAGTGGCTGGAACTGACGCAGCTGACTTTGCATGCACTGATTAAGGCAAACTCAGGGACCCTCTAGTGCCAGCAGTGCTCTGACAGCAATGATAAGCAGATAGAAAACCGTAAAGTCTTCCATCAAAAAAGTCTGATCCAGAAGAAAACTTTCTCAAGACTGACTAAAAGTTTTATTTTACACATACTTTCCCTAATTAGCAAAGTTCTGATAACCTGACTTGCAACTGTTTGAGCATATTCTCAAGACAAATACTCATTTCAATAGAGAAGAAAGGATTTGGTACAATTATCAGTTGTTCCTACTATCTCAATTACTGTTAAGCCCCAAGTAGAACAAATAAGGTATACTGACAAAAATCAAAAAAGGCAGTGTAAAAAACATTAAACAAAGCAAAAAATCTCCAAATTCATGACAATCAAGACATGAGATGGTCCAAAGTTTCTTAAAATCAAGCAAGCAAACACCCTAGTAAGCTTAGTATTTAACAGAAATACATAAATGGCCATAGACTTTTTATTTCTTTTTCTGCAGAATATTAAGTCTTTCATAAAGCATACTGTAAAATCACACTTTCTACAAATAAACCTCAAATTAGAAATATCAAGCACTTACTTTGGAAAAAGCGCAACTCCTCATACAGCAAGCAAGCACAGGAAAGTTATCTGAGAGTAGAAGTTGCCCATGCTTTTGCTGACTGTTCATTAAATAATTCCTGTTGCTCATTTTGCATAATTTAGACCATATGTAGTTGCAAACAGATGTTAACATTTAAAAGAAAATTGGGCATTTTGTTCATTTGACCAAAACCTTAGCACTACATAAAAAGGATAGAAAAAAACAAACAAAAGCTAGAAGACAGAAATAGTGCCAGTAGATAAGGGAAATGTAGTTACATTTAAGCTATATAATTTTTTTTTTACTTGAACTTTATTCTTTCTTATTAAGAAAGAAAAATACACCTACCAACTTGTCCCATTTTATTGATTTCTCAACTGTATGTAAAAAAATACTTCTACATATATCATAGATTGTACAATTACATTAGTAAGCAAAAAAAAGAAGCAACACCTTCAATCTGTTATAGTAATTTTAATTCATATTACTGTTACTTTAAAAAGTCTACAACTGTTAAATGTTGCTGACTTTTAAACCATGAGAATAACACAAATTTAGGTAATTATTAACTTCTTACTGTATCACTACTTTTTAATTTCTTCTTTCAAAAATGAAATGCAGAGTGTTTTGAAATGTAAATCCATTTAAGAGTCACAGAATATATCAAATCCTTGCTCCTCTATGTCAATGAAGTTCTGCTACTGACTTTAATAGGACTGATAATATGAACAGTAGTATTCATTTGTTTTGGGTTTTTTTTCTTCTCCCAAAAGAGATCTCTAGAAATTACCATGCTAAATTACCATAAGTGATACTTATTTCAAATTAAAATACTGTAACGGCACAGTTTCTAATAAAATTCTTACAACAGTCTTTGTGCACATGCATACCCACAGATATTTCTTGGAAAACTAAATCGAACAAAACCAGTCAAAGATCTTAACTTATACCTCCAAAATGCCTATATTTTTACCTTCAAAATATTCAGCAGATCGCTGTTATCAGTACAGACCTTGCTATATAATTTGGGTCTACGATACTGTCAAAACCTGCTGAACTATTTAAGTGTGCATGTAAAGTTTTTTCAGTTTCAGGAATTCTAAGAACCCACATGTAACCTGAAGAGACCCATTTAAAAATTGAGGTTTTGCTTATCAATGGATTCCAGTTTAAAAAAAGCTGTATATCAGTTTCTGTTAAATTTAACATATCCTTCACTACTTGATAAATATTATTCTGTATTTCCTAGCCTAGAAGACTTCATTTACTCAAATATCTAGAGAATTTTCAAACATGAATTTTTAAGACATGAAAAGAGATCTTCCAAAGGTAGAAAGCTGGGTAAAACTTCTCTGTCTGGTCTTTTGTTTCAGATTCATGTCTATTTAACTTTAAATTACTACACTTTTATGTACCAAGTCATCCTTGGTTAAGAGCAAAAAAGTCACCGTAGTTAGTGAAAAGATTTGGCTATTATAAGAACCTCAATTCCTTCTGTATAAAACATGATTCTATGAACAACCTAGCGTTTCAAGATTTACACATGAAGAAAGAAGTGTAATTTCATCAGATCCTCAGGAAGAAATGTGACCTTTTCTTGGCTTTTCACTTTCTAGCTTTACATCTGAACTCTTATTTATAATCTAAGAACTAAAAGAAATACTACAATTAGTAAGGCCAAAATGGCAAATAATTTGGACTGTAACAGAGCTCTGATGTAAAAATCCTAATATCAGAAAAAAAGCACAGTATGGTGTTTCAAGACTGCAGAAAACATTCGACATTTAAGCTCTGTAAGGAGAATGTAGTCCAATTTCATAGTAAAGATTAGAAATCTGCAATCCAGAAAAATAAAAACAAGTTTCATGCTAAGAGGCAGCACCACCAGGTTTTTCCACAGCTTCTGTCTCAGAATTATTATTGTAGATTTTTGATCTCATGAACTGAGATAGTAACTCACCTCAACAAAGAGTTCCATGAAGGTTCACTTCCTAAAGACCATTCTGAATCCTATGGCTAAAACTAAAATTCCCATGAGACGATCATTTCAGTGTACACATAACGTTGACCCTCTTCACAGTCACAGAATCACTAGATTGGAAAGGACCTTCAAGATCATCAAGTCCAACCATTAATCCAGCACCACCATGTCCCCTAAACCATGTCCTGAAGCGCCACATCCACACGTTTTTTGAACACTTCCAGAGATGGCGACTCCACCACCTCCCTGGGCAGCCTGTTCCAATGCTTGACCACCCTCTCGGTGAAGAAATTTTTCCTAATATCCAGTCTAAACCTCCCCTGGCGCAACCTGAGGCCATTTCCTCTTGTCCTATTGCTGGTTACTTGGGAGAAGAGACCAACACCCTCGTCACCACAATCCCCTTTCAGGTAGTGGTAGAGAGCAATGAGGTCTCCTCTCAGCCTCCTCTTCTCCAGACTGAACACCCCCAGTTCCCTCAGCCGCTCCTCATAAGACTTGTGCTCCAGACCCCTCACCAGCTTCGTTGCCCTTCTCTGGACACGCTCCAGCACCTCAACGTCCTTCTTAGAGTGAGGGGCCCAGAACTGAACACAGGATTCAAGGTGCGGCCTCACCAGTGCCGAGTACAGGGGCACGATCACTTCCCTGCTCCTGCTGGCCACACTATTCCTGATATAGGCCAGGATGCTGTTGGCCTTCTTGGCCACCTGGGCACACTGCCGGCTCATGTTCAGCCGGCTGTCCACCAGCACCCCCCGGTCCCTTTCCGCCGTCTATCCACCTACATGTTGAGTGCAGTAAGAGAAGGCTTTCTCTCAGGTTTAAGCATCTTAGATTAGATTATACCTGCATTACAAAATCTAGCTTAACAGAATCATGGTTTCTTCTTTCCCTTAGCAGAATCACTTTATATCATAGGTTATTTTATCACAACAGACACATAATTTTTTCATACTGAAACTCAATTTAGCATGAAAAACATATATTCCAAATAAATGCCAGAGGCTAATTTGTGTTTTAAACAACAAATACAATCAAGAAAGTATTTAGCAGACCTCTCACTCCTTTTACACTTACATGTCTTCTCAAAGTAAGGAACAGCTGATGTTTTCTAGATGCATTAATCAACATGAAGCATAAGCACCATCTTCACCACCACTGTACTTATGGAAG